CTGTTTCAGTTTCATACTCTAACTCAGCTGAACACCGGAAAAACTTAAATTTAGCTGAACAGCGGAAAAAAACTTAAAATTTATTAACTTTGAAAAAGGGAAAAAATTCTCCAGTTCAACATTTCTCGGGATGGGGTGTTTGACACAACAAGGTGGATAGCCTGGCGTTAGCCAGCGATCCGACTTTATATGAAAAGGAGGATGCCCGGCGTAGCCGGGCATTTCATAAGAAGGAGGAGAGCCCGGCGTTAGCTGGGCGATCCGACTGGTTATATAAAAGGCGCGACCCTTCCGCCTAGTCACCGCAATCAGCATATCGAAAGGAATGGCAAGATGTATTTGGCATAGATAAGTTTTGCTTAAAGGCATAGTTCACGATAATTTTGGGTAATCCGATTATGACGGAAAATGAAAGATAAGATGGGAAATAGTGCGATGAAGTCGAAGAAAGTGCGCGATTCAGCGTTTCCCAAGTGATAAGAGGCTTAGAAAAAATCGTTAAGAAGGGGGCTGGACAAGAAGAAGACCAGAAAAATGAAGAGGAAAGAGTGTTGGGGCGAGCTATACAGTGTGTGTCGATGTGGTACGTGGTGCGAATAGCTGAATACATTAAGCAAAAATGTCATTCAAAATTCATTCACTCATAAGCATAAGTTAACAAAAACGTTAGTAACGCAAAAATAGCCCACCTTTTTCAGCTTCTCGAGGTAGAAAATTAGATAAGGAATCGCAGCAGCTAAAAGTATAACAGAGAATAGAAGAATAGGAGAAAAAAATCGCCTTATTACTCGGCGATCAGCTGATTGTGTGTGGGTCCTAGAGTGAATATTGCAAACTGCCTCGTCTCGGCGCTCGTCTGACATGATGCGTGGCATCCGAGCGATCCGGTAGTGGGCCTCCATGTATGCCCTAGCTGTTGAGTTTCCTGAACCGAGAGCGTTCTTCCTGTTAACCTTGTGAGCTACTTGCGTGCTCCTAGAAGGGGAACTCGGAAACCATTTTCGTCGTGAACTGTGCCTTGAAATGGCCCGACCGCCCTCTAGATGCAGGTTTTAGGTATCCAGTAGCCCCAATTACATTAATTCAGTTTTGAAATATATCATTATTTCGGTATTTATTTCATCATGATGCTCTACCACACTTGCCTGAAACCGGGACAAGATCAGTGTTATGCCTTTTTTTTCCTTCCTACTGTCTATAGATAATATCTACTCAAGCTCACCAGGGAAAAGAACGATCTACTATGTTCAGCGCGCAAACGCCGCACGCGTATATCACTCATTTAGCATGTTTGATGTTGTTGCATTTTTAAGATGTAGTATAGTCATAGAACATAGCGAAGTATCTATGATAGTGAATAGTGTTGTGCTTGGAAACGCGGCTTCAATCAAGGTTTGAACCCACTGTACTGATTACATGAATGCCGTCCGAAATGGGACTGTTTCATAGAACACTTACACTATCCTCGTTGCCACATTCCCAGCAGCATTACCCCAGCATTCGACGTACAATTGTTTCTTTCAGGAAACACATGGTGCTATTCTGCACTTTGAGCTTCCACCTCCATGTGATCTTCCCAAGCTTTTCGAGTTCACTTCACTTCATGCCGCGGATTTAGTGCTGTCGTTTTCGGTCCGCCAATTTTGCTCTAATGCCTTTATACTTCTTCCCTAACATTTCATTCAATTTCAGATATCTCAGAACAGTCTTGATCAAGCATTTGTGAACTTCGTGAAAGAGCAAACAGATCCTGGCGGTAGACGTGTCCCCTCAAAAACCCCCCTTGGCGTCTGCGTCGTGGCAGACTCTGATTTGGACTCAAGGTCGCCTTATACCGATGGAAAATCGCACATGTCAGCGCTCTCTGAAAGTCAGACAACTCCGACCGCAGAAGATTCTTCCCACGCAGACTCCCTAGAAGATCAGATAGACTCAAGTTAGAATGCCTCTATTACACCTTCTCAATAACAGTCAAAATGGATGTTGTGAAATCGTTTGAATGGCTTAAATAACTTTACACTAATCGTGCCAAATTAAATACTTGAATTGTACTGTAATTATTTCGAACAGTATTGTTGCGCAATATAACACTTATCAAAAAATTGCCTATATAGAGCATATTAAAGATTGTAAAGAAAACTTGTCTTTTGTTTTCGGGATTTTTCCTTTATAGAGCTAAGAAATAATGATCACATTGATAACTGATCATTCTAATATTATACGTCGGGTGCTTTTATCTTTCAATGTTCGTTCAAAGAAAACGATGTAGAACTTTGTCAGACACGTGTTGTTCAAAGGCACAGTTCACGCTAGAAATGGATCGTACCCTGCCAGGATGAATCTGTGGCTCTCCTGTATACCACATGTGGCGCTGTTAGATGGGGAAGCGCCTTGGATAGGGCGTTATAAAGGGTTCAAAAATTGTCCCGTGTGTGTGCGCGGACGAGTTTCACCGGCATTGTAGAGGCTGCACCGATCACAAGGGAACCCATATAGGAAATTCTAACAACTTGTCATGGCCCATTGCGGCAGTGAAAGGCTAGTCTGGACAGTTTTAGCATGATATAGTCAGCTCTTAACGCAACTGCAAAAACTGGAATCTCGTCCAAATATCTCTGCCATGTCATTTCCGTGCCTTATTTTTCACAAAATTGTGGAGTGTCTCGCTTCCTTCATCACTGGTCCACTATCCTCAACCATTACTTCCGCCTTTCGACTTAAAAATGTGTCTCAAAATTATCGTTAACTGTACCTTTAACGCAAATGAATTCTTTTCAGATGCAATTGAATGCTCATGAATAGGCTTTCCTAGCAACTCTCGATAATTTTTTTCCGACTGTTCTTGCAATAATGCTTCTTTCCACTCCATAACATTCATTCAGCGCCTTCGCATGGTCGCTGTTCTTGTTTTTCTCATGATTTCTTTCTGTCTACTTTCATCTCATGCCGCCAACTTCGCTTCGACATGATCCTTCTCAAACTTATCTCTTTTTTCTCGTGGCGGTCACCTCCTGTGAGCTTCGAACTCCATTGTTTCTCTTATCAGGTGGTTCTCACCTCAATGCGTGCCCATAGCATCGCAGCCCTCCTCTCTCACCTTTAGCTGGGCAGGCTGTTTGCATTGTTGTGCTAATAGCTTCATCTCTCATCTTACGGTCGTGGCCAACCACAGCTCCATTTCCGCAAAGGCATTCCCGCGAGGTAAAGTTGCCTTTCATGTCTTTTAGCTTGGGACCAGCCCTCGCTTCCGTAGAACATCGTGAGCTTAAGAATCTTGAGCTTTTTGGAGCACTGTTGATTAAATGCCGTCGTCCCATTTCTTTAATGCCGCGTTTCTGTTACCTTCCTTCACAGCCTACTCCAGCAGCCGTTAAATCGCTACTCAGGTACTGGAAGTCTTGGACGGTGTCGATGCACTCATGAGGCATTATTGTCACATCCTGATGGGTGACACTGCGCCGTTCATTACCTGTCGTCCATTATTTACCACTTTCTGCTTCTCGTGCCGCTTTTCTAGTTCTTCCTTGTTCTCCTTTATACATGTGATGTCGTTATATAGCCTTTGAAGGTACATCCATCAGTTATAACCATGAAACCCAGTACAGCAAAGAGAAGTAACCGTCTCAATGCTGATTCTGCTGAAAACCAACCAAGATGTTTGTTACTTCTGTTAGGCCTTGAGGAGTGCGTATAACGGCTCACGATCAGACATACCGCATATGTCTCTGACCACGCCGATTGGGTGCTCTGCTACACTTCATTGGTGGGACGCATTTCAGATTACTGGTCCCAGTGGAATTCAGAACGTCTAGTTTGCAGGATTGACGCGCCTTTTGATACTTCTCCCTCACCTGTCCACCTACGGGGATGGCGGCTGTTTCAGATCTTCAAGGCATGAAGCCGGTATGTACTATGAGCTTGAAATAAGTCCCTTAATCCCTAAAGGCACGGTTCACGATGAAAAATGGTTACTGACTTCTTCCCTTAGGAATACTCACTGGTCCCCACTGGGTGGTAAAGAGGACTCTCTCGCTCTCACAATCTTGACGGTTAGGGCACAGTGGGAGCCCTGTTGTTGGCTTGAGTTGCTTTCTCGCCCCTCGATCGACGCCAGACGAGTGTCGAGACGATACGGATTGCAAATTCTCGCTCTAGGACCCACACACAATCAGCTGATCGC